AGCACTCGGGGATAACAGCAGTGTCTGACCGCTCTGGAGCGCGGCCTCCTCAACCGCCCGATCCTGAGACACGGAGAAGCGGACACGTAAAATGTGTTCCAGTAGCTGCTAAGTTGCTTGTTATGCTGCTCTTCTGCTTTCCCAGAGCTTATGCTCATTTCTCTCACATTTCTTGGCTGAACGCTGTAGCAAGCAAAAAGCATTTTAACAACTCTGTCCCTCACACACAACCATTTCTGACAGATGTTATTTATCCAAAAGAAGATGTTATTTATTCAAACCTCTGCCAGCGTCTTCACTGATCTACACTTAACTTCTGGAGCCTATGGGTGACTATATTCCCTCAGGCTCATCTGTAACACTGCACCACAGCACACAGTGCAAGCCCTTAAAGGAAAATGTGGTGATTTACATCCACTGAGGATTCGGCCCTTTGAAGTGAAATCTTGTCTGTGTTAGTCCTAGCAAGGGCAGAACTGCAATGCAGAGGTGTTTCATACGGCGACCTGCACACAGTGCTGCTCAGGGATGCGCTGTGCAAGACGCCGACGGCTCCCTCTGCATGGCGCAAACACGGGGACCGCTGCACCAAAACGACACCGGGAAGCGCCGAACAAGCCCGGGCAGCCCGGGGTGCCCTAACCCCGACCCGCTCCCGCAGCGGGAAGCGCAGAGCTCCGTCTGCTGCTCCGTCTGGTTTGGAAGGCTTACCTCTATCGCAGCAAGAATTGAACTTCATCGGACGAACAGCAGCCAAGGAACAGGAAAAGGCTAGCACAAATAAACAGCATTATTTAACCAATGCACCAGAAATACTTTATCAGGATGCAGGTATCCCAAATATACAACTAGAATTGGATGCAAGAGAAAAAGAATTAATTTTATAAGTTAATCAATAACAATTGATGAATTATATTTTATACATCCCAGGAAACAGATTTGGTCAAAAGCTAATCTTGCTGAGTTCCATTGCATCACCTCCAAGTTGTACACACAGAAAGATTAGGCCTTCTAGTATTTGGATGTTTTTTGAAAACGTGTAATTTTAAACACATCTTGTTTGCAGTCACTATTTCTGTACTCTTGTCAGGGCACAATTAATAACAGGAGATACAGAAGCTGTATGTAGTGAGCTTACAGATCAGAAATGGTAAGTTCTAATTTACTTATAGCAGCAAACGATTAAAATGCAGCTCTAAAAACTACTGTCCATGCTGCAAGCTAGATTTTACTTACTGGGAAAGAAAGCAGCTCCCGAAAGCTCACATTTTAGATCATCTAAGGTGTAAGTGCATACATGTCCATGCACTCACTTTACTAACAAATTATCTTTGCCAGAGACAGCCCTAAGGAGCTCTCGCTTCCACTGTAGTTCATTACATAAAGAAATAAAATAAAGCAGAGACTAATTATGTTCTTTATATATGTGCATACCCGATTTTAATTACACACACTCATTCTGCAAAGTGCCTTGCCCACATCTGTGTCAAAACACCCTGAAAAGTAAATGTCCAGAAGACATTTTATTCTTCCCATGTTTATGAATGGGACCTACCCACAAAACTCTGGCAATTAGCTCCATAAAACATATGATTTTTTTTCATTCATGTTGTTACAATGCTGTTGAACGATGCATTCTTTGCAACAGGAGGACAGAAAACAGTGAAACCGTATATAAAAACAAATGCATGAACTCTGCAAACTAAATACCATCCACACTGGAAGGGATCTCTTTCAGATGCCCTGTAAAGGGCGAGCCAGTTTCTTGCCCTGGTTTCATCAGCAAGTTTTGCCTTAACTCACGATGAAGCTTAAAGATTAAGTATGTATTTGATTACAAAGCATATATACATGTATATATAAGCATATCTGTGCGTGCGCATGTGTAAAAATCAAAACCAAGTCCAAAACAATATATTGTAAACTTTTTTTACTTGGATTTTTTCAGACATTATTCAATCAAGATTGAGACAGCTGATTCTTAAATAAAGGTGGGAGATCAGGAAGGAAATAGAGATAACACCACTTCTTTTTTCAAATGTCACATTTAATGTTTTCACCACTGTACTTCAAATCTACATTTTACAAAGTGACCAGCAAGTGTGCCACATTAACTGACCAACCTCTGAGATTTTACCTTTCATACCAGTGTCTTCTTGGGCTCTTTTAATTAAACATGTTTCTCATTCAAGTGAATTGAAATGCTTCAGTTGGTTTTATTCTCAGGAGCCTCATAAAAAACAAAGATATTGCACCATCTTTGTTCAGTAATTCAATGTTTTTCTCTTTCACAGCAAATAATTACTTCATTGAAGTTAAAACTTCCAAACATAACTTACTAATAGTCTCCAATTTCAGCTCAGATCACTCTTGTTGAAAATACTCTGCTAAATACAGATAACTTACAATAACTTTAACAGTTAATTGTCCATAACAAACACCACGGTTTTTCTCCAGACCAATGCTCAAATTTTAAGACCACCCTTCAGTATTTCTTTTGTACAGGTGAAAAACAGTCTTCAATTTTCTAGTCTTGTTTTAAATATAAAAGTTGGAAGGGACATTCAAGTTTCAAGTCTCCACACTGAACTTAAAAAAAAAAAAAAAAAAAATCATGTGGAGGTAAACAAACCAAGTTGTATACTCCAGGAGGTAGAGGCCTTCAATTTGTGTTCATATATACATATGCACAGAATTCAGTGTTCCAACAGAAAAGAATTAGCCAAAAAGTAATAAAAGTTATTTACTACTGTGACATTTCAAGACTTCCACAGCTTTGCCTAAAGACACAAACACAATTAACATAATTCCCTATGTGCTTTTTTTTTCCTTTTCTTTTTTCTTTTTTTTTCTCAACTGTCCAGTGCAGGAAAAAGTTCTCACAAAATTTCACAGACCTAAAATGTGCAAGCTAGTTCCTCTCTATACAGCAATGATGTCAGGGATCTCTGAAATTAGCCCATAAATGGAATTATTTACACACATAGAAGATGCATGCTGGGGGGTTTTATGTAAGAAAGAGCAGAAAAACTTCTAATAAAAATAGATTAAATATATATATATATTTATACTGGGTAAGGAAACAGAAGTTTAGTCTCTCCTAGTCACAAACTCATTCTCTCTACTCACAACATTTGATTTTAGAACAGCACACATCACCATCACAGCTCTAGTGAGAAGCTATTTATAGGATTTGATTATCAGGTGACGAGCCCATGTCTTGTGGTCACTGTCATCTGATGTGACTTCATGATTGGTCGCAGTCAAGTTTTCTGTATTCCTTAGTCTTAGAAAACCCAAAATCTTCAGGAATGGCTCAATATCAAAATGTATGTCTATCTTTTTGTACAATCTCCCTTCAATAAAAAAAAAGAACAAAAAACCTCCCCAAATTTGGTTCAATTCTGTTTGTTCTGAGCTGAGCCATCACAGCTGCACTAGAATTCATAAAACACGTGCAACTCTGGGTAAAATATTTTCTTCTAAAAGCACAACCACTTTACAAGATTAAAAGTCTAGTACATTTCTAAATATTATTCATATTGTACAAGTAGTGGTTGTTAATTTAAAACTTCATTAGTAAAATTACAGTACAAGCATGATTAACCTCCAGAATTGCAAATCCCAGACTCCAGTGGAAAGCTACATTACATCTTCAGTAGTATATTATCCTCCACTTCATTCCCAAACCAGCGGAGACGGCGGCATCTCGGATGGTTGAGCGACTGTGGAACTGGAAGGCAAGAGAGACAGAAAATCAGTGTTCACTTGCCACGGCTCACGGACAAGAAAGTTAATGCCTGACCCACCACGAAGACTGCAAAGGAGACAAAGACCCAGACCAGCAGCCAACGGCACCGGCAGCGAATACTCCAGCCCAATTTACCGACTTCTGGCGATTCCTCAGCTATCACTGTCATCCATTTTCATGTTCTTACAATGAAAAATCAACTTGGTGACCTGTTAATTTCATTCTGACAGGCTGATTTTTGTACTTGAATATGTTTTCAAAATTATTACTTGACATTTTTGCACATTTTACTTAAATTTAGCTTAAATTCAATCACTCATATGCTTGAAGTATTCTTTGCAGCAGTTGCCTACAGGTCTCCATGACTTTTATGCACATTAAATATAAAATATTTTGAATGTGTGATCTGTGTACTACTAATAAATGTGAATTAGTATCAGATGTGATTACATACAGTTACCTAATAAAGCTCTTAAAAGCAGCAGACTGAGGGTTGATGCAGAGAGGCACTCTGTTTCCTTTCTGCTGTTCCAAAATGAACTGATGAATTATTTCTGTACATGAGAGAAAAATAAAAACACCATAGCACATACATTAGCACTTTTTGCTTTAATAAAAAACTATATTCCTGTAGTGCAGGAATATAGTTTCCTTCACTGAAAATATACTTTAGTAAGTATAAGGGAAGTTTTATTAACAAAGAAGAAAAAAAGAAGTTTTCTAGCTTTCCCACTTGTGATGGGACACGTGGAGGCTCGTGGCTGGCTCCAGGCCCGCAGGAGCTGCGGGGATCACGAGGGCAGCCGCGACCCAGAGCGGCTCCTGCGCGGCA